TACGCACTGGATCAACATACAGAGAGAAGAATAGCCACCAGAAGTTAAAATTGGCCTAAAACCTGAAATGGAAAAACATAACTAGCCAAAGTGAAATGAAAAGTTGAAAGTCCAGCTGATGCATCAAGCATAAGTTGTAAGATACAACAAAGCAGAAGGGGCCTACACTTACCAAATGCTACCACCATGTCAATCCAGCCTGCATCCAGTTATTTGAAAAATGACCACCAAAAGAGAGAGCGAGAGAGAGCTACTCCTGATCTTTGTGTGTGTGTGTAAAATATATATAGTGTATGTGTGTGTAAATATATATATATATATATATAATTAGTGTGTGTGTATGATCTCCTGCCCATATACGGTGCTGCCTTCCAGCCCTCCCATCTCCCCACACATTGATTGGGCGGAAAGCAAAATAGCGCTACGTCCCATCCGGTGATATAATTTCCAGCGTGCAACACTGGAAATACTATGGGCGCCATCTTGAAAGTTCCCAAAATAACCCCCAGCAAAAGGGAGCAAAACAGCAAGACCCCAAAAACAAAAAAGGGGGAGGGGCAATCCACCACCAACCGAAACCAAACACGTGTCACTCCACAGCGTAACGCTTCCCTTCCGCCCTATAGCAGTAATACTGCTACAGGGTGGCACAGGTGCACAAAATCACTTGTATATACAGTTGCAAGAAAAAGTATGTGAACCCCTTGAGATTATGTGGAGTTTTGCATGAATTGGGCATAAATGTGCTCTGAACGTCATCTAAGTCACAACAATAGAAGAACACAGTCTGCTGAACATAATACTACACAAACATTAGATGTTTCCATGGTTTAATTGCACATAACATGTAAACATTCACAGTGCAGGGAGGAAAAAGTATGTGAGGCCCTAGCTTAATGACTCCTCCCAGAGCTAATTGGAGCCAGCAGTGAGCCAACCTTGACTCCAATCAGTGTGATGATATTGGATGTGTTGCTGACAGCTGTCCTGCCCTTAAAAAACACACACCTGTTTTGGGTTTACTGGTTTCAAGAAGCACTGTCTGATGTGAACCATGCCTCGCAGAAAAGAGCTCTCAGAAGACCTACGATCGAGAATTGTTGACTTGCATGAAGCTGGAAAGGGTTACAAAAGTATCTCCAAAAGCCTTGATGTTCATGTGTCCACAGTAAGAAAGACTGTCTACAAATGGAGAAAGTTTAGCACTGTTGCTACTCTTCCTAGGCATGGTCGTCCTGTAAAAATGACTGCAAGAGCACAGTGCAGAATGCTGCATGAGGTAAAGAAGAATCCCAGAGTGTCAGCTAAAGACCTACAGAAATCTCTCGCACATGCTAACATTTTTGTTGACACATCTACAATAAGGAAAACATTAAACAAGAATGGAGTACATGGGAGGACACCACGGAGGAAACCATTGCTGTCCAAAAAGAATATTGCAGCACGTTTGAAATTTGCAAAAGAGCACCTGGATGTTCCACAGCACTACTGGCAAAATATACTGTGGACAGATGAAACCAAGATTGAGTTGTTTGGGAAGAACACACAACACTATGTGTGGAGAAAAAAAGGCACAGCACACCAACATCAAAACCTCATCCCCACTGTAAAACATGGCGGAGGGAGCATCATGGTTTGGGGCTGCTTTGCTGCCTCAGGGCCTGGACGGATTGTTGTCATTGATGGGAAAATGAATTCCAGAGTTTATCAAGACATTTTGCAGGAAAACGTACGACCATCTATCCGCCAACTGAAGCTCCACAGAGGATGGGTGATGCAACAGGACAATGACCCAAAGCATACAAGTAATTCAATAAAACAATGGCTGCAACAGCACAGAATACGCCTTCTGGAGTGGCCCAGTCAGAGTCCTGACCTCAACCCGATTGAAATGATGTGGCATGACCTTAAGAGAGCGATTCACACCAGCCATCCTAAGAATATTGCTACACTGAAACAGTTTTGTGAAGAGGAGTGGTCCAAAATGACTCCAGATTGTTGTGCAGGTCTGATCTGCAACTACAGGAAACATTTGGTTGAGGTTATTGCTGCCAAAGGAGAGTCAACCAGTTATTAAGTCCAAAGGTTCACGTACTTTTTCCTCCCTACACTGTGAATGTTTACATGTTATGTGCAATTAAACTATGGCAACATCTAATGTTTGTGTAGTATTATGTTCAGCACACTGTTCTTCTATTGTTGTGACTTAGATGACTTTCAGAGCACATTTTATGCCCAATTCATGCAAAACTCCACATAATCCCAAGGGGTTCACATACTTTTTCTTGCAACTGTATACGTGATTTATGCTCCCGGGTGCCATGATTCGGTCCCCAAGGGATCAATCACCCGTTTTCAGTCCAGCGATGTTCGGCCTAAATCGGATGATTAATTCTTGGCCTAGAAGGGATCTTCCTGTACCTGTGTTTACACTTACCCAGGTACAGGAAATGATGACATCTTCTCTCTCTGGGCACATTCCATCCCAGAGAGAGAAGAAAAGACACAGTGATTAAATCAGTACACTTACACACAACACATCTCAGGTCACATTTAACCCCATCACTGCCCTGTCACCAGTGTCATTACTATAGTTTACACATTTTTTGTTGATCACTTTATTAGTGTCATCGGCAACTTCAGATAGCGTCAGATTGCCCGTCATTACACCAGTCATCACATTTAACCCCTTGATTGCCAGGAACACACTCGCCTACACAAAAAACCTCCATTGCTAGTATAGTGTCTGAATGGATCAATATCTTTGATCAGATCAGTCCTATACCAGCGTTCACATTAGTATAGTGTCCCCAAAAATGCAGCGTTAGCAGGATCAGCCCTGGCACCTGCCAGCACCTGCGTTTAGCCGCTATGCTTAAACCCCCTGTCACTTGATACATTACACACAAAACCATAGTGTTCACAGAATCGGGCATGATCTCTGTTTAGCACTTACAGGTAATTTTTTTTTTTCTTTTGCGGTTCAAGTCTCTGACAGCCAGGTGCTCTCTTTCCCGTGAGTCGCACTAGGTACCTGTAAATTTAGTGGCCAAAATGTCCAGCGAAAGGTACTCTAGTGAAGAGGCCTACAGATTCTGAGTATGTCAGGTGAGAGCAAAGGGGAAGACTCACTGACAGAATCCGTCTCAGAATATGAACCTGTAGACAGCAATGGCACCCTGACAGATGGCTCAGACGATGGTTCCTTCTAAGATCAGGCATACCAGACCCCGTTTCCAGGTTGCTGAGATGTTACAATCACATGATGACTCTCATATGCAGCAGAGTGCCTGTACTAGTGCCGCTCTACCTTTTTGGTTAACTGGCGAGCACCAGCGGCCTAGTACATCCTGGTTTTATACATACCAATACTGCAGTATCATTTGGTCATGTGGGAAGTCACATAAGTGCAGTACAAGCTGGTGCAGCGGCGAGCACAAGTAGTGTCCCGCAGCCACCAAGAATTTGCACACAGGCTCATAGAGCCCCTAGTGTCCTTCCAGATGTGCTTGCAAATCCTGATTGGCAGCCCACAAATTCTGCAGCACCCGTACTTCCCCCATTCACTGCCCAACAGCAAATTTAGCTATTCCCCTTGATTTTTTTAGAGCTGCTTTTCACAGAAGGTCTGTATGCATTGATTAATTCCTCCCTCCACGCTGCCAAGCAAGCCTACTTTGTAACCCTCATCAATACTGTCAGGAATGGACTTGCCAGTAATGGTGGGACTCACCTGCCTTGTGGGCTGCAGTACCAGGGCTGGCCAGCGGGTGCTCCAAAGCAATCAGAGACTCAAACCTGCAGCCAGCCAAACACCTGAAGCTGATTATGCAGGTGTATTTAAGGGATGGCCAGACCTGCAGTCTGGGCCTTGGTGTGTGTTTTCCTGGGCCCCTGTATCTTGTTACCTGCATTCCTGTTCCTGTTCCTGCCTCTGCCTCTGCTTGACTTGTTGCTGACCCTGTTCCTGTCCCTGTCTGACTGATTCGTTGCTGACCCTGCCTGATCCGGACCTCTGCTGACTTCTCCCGTTTGATCCCTGGCTTGTGACCCCGACTATTCTCTGCCTGACCCCCTGTACCTACCTGCCTGTTAGTTGCTGTACCCGGCTTGTGACCTGACTACTCTCTGCCTGCTCCTCCTGTTCCTACCTGCCCGATTGTTATTGACCCGGCCTGCCTGACGACGCTTGCATTGTATGTATTGTTATCTGTGGGTGGTTTGGTTTGGTTCGTTTGCACTGTGTTATGTTTTAGTATTGCACTGCGTTTATGTATTGTTAGTGTTAATAAATTATATTGTTTATAACATATCTGAAGCCTGCGTTTCCCTGTGTCAGTTCACATACCTCTGGTCACACCCTGGAGCCCTGACATTACACCAAGGCCAATCCTGACCAGAAGTGGCTGCACAGGGAAGCCATCTTGGCTTGTTGCTGGGAAGGATGGATCTTGATGAGGTTGTGTATTTGTCGCTGCTGGTTTTTGATGACAGAGAATATGCTTATCAGACTCTGAGGGAGTATCCCCAGGATCAACTGCTAGAATGTATACGGATCGCTCATGTTCTAGTAGATCAGGGCACAGAGTTCTCTGAGGTGCAACCTTTGATTCAGGTTTGTGTAGAGTTGGCTTCATCTGGTACCCCTGAAAGCAGGAATGACTTTTTGCCACCATTTAGTGCAGACCAGGTAGAGTCCCTGGTATTGTTATTAGAGGATGATGTGGATTGCTTTTTGGAACATTATGCTGCATGTTCACCACAGGTATTGAGGGATTGTATAAACGCAGTGCAGTCTTTGACCAGACAGGCTTTGTGTAAGCTGAGCTTTGTTCAACCCTTACTGCAGACATGGTCAGACTTGTTGCACCCAGCCTCAGTCAGCTTGCAAAAACCCAGTCCTGCTTCTAATCTATTTCTTCAAAGCTCTATTCCTGCATTCCCAACAGCACCTCCAGTTACAGCCCAGTCTACCCTGCTATCTACCGCATGTCAGTACCCTGTTCCCACTCGCTGCACCTATCCTGCCTTTAACCCTGTAAAGAAGCCCTCTGTAGCAACTGTTCCCTCCCCTGTTCCATCCTCCAGCTCTTCTCTGTCTCCAGCTGCTCCATCCGTTTACAAACCTGCGCTTACTTACAGTGCTCCGGTAACTAAAACCAGGAAAAGGCGAAAGTTCTTTCCAACCAGTACCATCCTGCCAGTATCCAAACCGGACAGCCTCCCATCTGAGAACCTGCCTTCCGTGGTGCAACCTGGTGCCTCGGCGCCCACAATTCCGCCTGATGTCTTTACCCAGCCTGATGCCTCCATTCAGCCTGATGCCTTTACCCAGCCTGATGCCTCTACCCAGCCTGATGCCTCCATTCAGCCTGATGCCTCCATTCAGCCTGATGCCTCCATTCAGCCTGATGCCTCCATTCAGCCTGATGTCTCTACCCAGCATGATGTTTCTACCCAGCCTGAGATGATCCTATTAGGCCAGTTGACTCGATGCCCGCTGTCGATCCAGACGATCCGGTACCTGATGACCCAGTGCCCGCTGTCATGCCTGGTGACCCGATGCCCGCTGTCGAGCCAGACGATCCAACGCCAGATGACCCGGTGCCCGCTGTCGTGCCAGTTGACTCGGAACCCACTGTCGTGCCTGGTGACTCGGTGCCCACTGCCTTGCCAGATGACGCGGTGCCCGCTGGCGAGCCAAATGACCTGATGCCTGGTGACCCGATGCCCGTTGTCGTGCCTGATGACCCGGCGCCCACCGCTCCGCCTGGGGGCCCGGTGCCTGCCATCCCTCCTGGGGGTCCGGCGCCCGCCGCTCTGCCTGGGGGCCCATCGCTCCTCCTGGGGGCCCAGTGCCCGCCGCCCCTCCTGGGGGCCCAGTGCCCGCCGCCCCGCCTGAGGGCCTGGCACCCGCCGCTCCGCCTGGGGGCCCGGCGCCCGTCGCTCTGCCTGGGGGCCCGATGCCTGTCGCTCTGCCTGGGGGCCCAGTGCCCGCCGCTCCGCCTGGGGGCCCGGCGCCCGCCGCCCCGCCTGGGGGCCCGATGCCTGTCGCTCCGCCTGGTGGCCTGGTGCCTGCTGCTCCGCCGGGGAGCCCGGTGCCCGCCGCTCCATCTGGGGGCCCGGTGCCTGCTGCTCCGCCTGGTGGCCCGGCGCCCGCCGCTCCGCCTGGTGGCCCGGTGCCTGCTGCTCCGCCTGGTGGCCCGGTGCCTGCTGCTCCGCCAGGTGATCCGGTGCCTGCTGCTCCGCCAGGTGATCTGGAGTCCTGCCGGATGTGCCGCTGCCCGGAGTCCTGCCGGATGTGCCGCTGCCCGGAGTCCTGCCGGATGTGCCGCTGCCCGGAGTCCTGCCCGATGTGCCGCTGCCCGGAGTCCAGCCCGATGTGCCAGTCTTTGATATCCCACCAGTTACCAGACCCGGGCGGTGGAACATTTTGCCCAGCTAGGACTGTTTGGAGCGTCCTGAGGCCGCTCCTTGAGGGGGGGGGGGGGGGGTACTGTCAGGAATGGACTTGCCAGTAATGGTGGGACTCACCTGCCTTGTGGGCTGCAGTACCAGGGCTGGCCAGCGGGTGCTCCCAGCAATCAGAGACTCAACCATGCAGCCAGCCAAACACCTGAAGCTGATTATGCAGGTGTATTTAAGGGATGGCCAGACCTGCAGTCTGGGCCTTGGTGTGTGTTTTCCTGGGCCCCTGTATCTTGTTACCTGCATTCCTGTTCCTGTTCCTGCCTCTGCCTGACTTGTTGCTGACCCTGTTCCTGTCCCTGTCTGACTGATTCGTTGCTGACCCTGCCTGATCCGGACCTCTGCTGACTTCTCCCGTTTGATCCCTGGCTTGTGACCCCGACTATTCTCTGCCTGACCCCCTGTACCTACCTGCCCGTTAGTTGCTGTACCCGGCTCGTGACCTGACTACTCTCTGCCTGCTCCTCCTGTTCCTACCTGCCCGATTGTTATTGACCCGGCCTGCCTGACGACGCTTGCATTGTATGTATTGTTATCTGTGGGTTTTTTGGTTTGGTTCGTTTGCACTGTGTTATGTTTTAGTATTGCACTGCGTTTATGTATTGTTAGTGTTAATAAAATTATATTGTTTATAACATATCTGAAGCCTGCGTTTCCCTGTGTCAGTTCACATACCTCTGGTCACACCCTGGAGCCCTGACATTTACCCTCTCCTCCAGCCCTCGCCGGCTCTTCTCCACCTTCAAACTCTCTGCTCTCTCCGCCCCAACCTCCACCCAGTACCTCACTCACCGCCCACGAGATTGCTAACCACTTCCAAAGGAAGATCGCAGTTTGCAGGGACATCACCACTGCTCAGACTTCCGCCCCACCTAGCATCCCTCACACGAAAATCCCCTCAACACTCCTCTCCTTCGACCTCGCCACTGTCCAGACCTCCACCCCACCCAACATTCCTCACACTAAAACCCCCTCAACACTCCACTCCTTTGACCCTGCTACCACTGAAGAGGTCACTAAGGTCTTCTCCGAAGCTCACCTTACCACCTGCCCCCTTGACTCTGTCCCCAAACAACTCCTACGATAACCCCCTCCTCCATCCTACGCTCCCTCACTCACATCTCCCTCTCTACTGGTGCATTCCCCTCCCCTCTGAAGCACGCGCACATCACTCCCATACTTAAAAAACCCTCCCTGGACCCCCACCGACCTAAACAACCTTAGACCCATCTCCCTGCTGCCATTCTCATCCAAACTCCTTGAGAGCTTAGCCTACAATCGCCTAAGCTCTCACATCACCGACAACAACCTCCTTGATCCCCTACAATCTGGCTTCCGTCCCCTACACTCTACCGAAACCGCCCTACTCAAACTCACCAACGTCCTGCTAGCCGCCAAGGCCAATGGCCATTACTCAGTGCTACTACTCCACGACCTCTCCGCGGCTTTCGACACGGTCGACCACCCCCTCCTCCTCAAAAAACTATACTCTTTTGGCCTCAGAGACTCCGCTCTCTCCTGGCTCTCTTCCTATCTTTCTCAACGCTCCTTCAGTGTTACCTATAACGCTGCCACCTCCCCCTCACTCCCCCTCTCTGTTAGGGTCCCAAAAGACTCTGTCCTCAGGCCCCTTCTCTTCTCCATCTACACCTCCTCCCTTGGTCAACTGATACACTCCCACGGCTTCAACTACCATCTTTATGCAGATGACACTCAAATCTATCTCTCTACCCCTCGCCTCACCCCCTCAGTCTCCGCCAGAATCACTAGCCTTCTGAATGACATATCAGACTGGATGTCACTCCACTTCCTCAAATTAAACCTTGCCAAAACCGAGTTCCTAGTTTTCCCCCCAGCCCGCGCCCCCCCTGACCTCTCCTTCACGACCAACAATACCACCATCAGCCCCACCCCGCAAGCCAGAGTACTAGGTGTCATTCTAGACTCCAATCTGTCTTTCCAGCCCCAGATCCAATCGCTGACAAATTCATGCAGACTCCACCTCCGCAACATCTCCAAAATACGCACGTTCCTAACTCCAGAAACTACAAAGCAACTCATTCACTCCCTTATCTCCCGACGTGACTACTGTAACTCCTTCCTCGCTGGCCTACCCCAACACAAGCTATCCCTGCTTCAGTCTATCCTGAATTCTGCGGCCAGACTCATCCACCTTACCAACCACTCCGTATCCACCACCCCCCTCTGCCAATCCCTCCACTGGCTTCCGATTGCCCAACGCATAAAATTCTAAATATTAACATTGACGTACAAAGCTGTTCATAACACTGTCCCAAACTACATCACCGACCTGATATCTATCTACCACCCAAAACGCACTCTACGCTCCTCACAAGACCTCCTACTCTCCAGTTCCCTGGTCTCCTCCTCCCATGCCAGTCTCCAGGACTTCTCCAGGGCTTCCCCCATCCTCTGCAACTCACTACCCCAATCCATCAGACTGTCACCTTTCCTTCTTCACCTTTTAGGCGCACCCTGAAAACCCATCTCTTCAGAGAAGCCTACCCTGCCCTCACCTAATTGCTGATGTCCTCCGCTCTTCCCACCACTCTCCATCCCCCACAGCTATTTCGCCTGTACCACTCTCCCCTCCCTCCTAGATTGTAAGCTCCAAGGAGCAGGGCCCTCAAACCCCTTGTGTATTGTATTGTTACTGTACTGTCTCACATTATAATGTACAGCGCTGAGCAATCCGTTGGCGCTATATACAGTAAATACTGTATTATAATAAAAATAATAATAATATGCACAACAGTTTATTGCCGCCAACCCAAATTCAAACCTTGCCAGACCATTTGCATTACGGTTTCCAAATTTGAAGTTTTTTTTTTCTGGGCCTAACATGGGCATTATTAACAAAATGAATTGCGGTTGTATTGGTCCACAGACCCGATTCATCATATGCCCGTGTTCTCTGCTGCCATGGCCAGGTATAGATAGGAGAATATAATGCGTTTTATGCATTTCAACGACAACACACTCTCTCGTCCTCGGGGTGACCCTGAATTTGACCGACTCCACAACATTTGGCCCCTCGTAAATCACCTTAACCAAAAATTTGCAGATGTCTATACTCCCCAGCAAAACATCTGTGTTGATGAGTCCCTCATTAGTTTTTCTGGCCGCCTTGCATTCAAACAATTTCTCCCCAGCAAGCATGCCAGATATAGGCTCAAGATGTACAAGACCTGTGAGAGGGCAACAGGCTATACATATAAGCTTCGGATTTACGAGGGAAAAGAGAGTCCCCTGGATGCCCAGATTACATGGGGAGCAGTGGCAAGATAGTTTGGGACTTAGTGTCATCCTTTTTCCATATGTCACTTCTGTGTGGACAATTTTTATTCAAGCGTGCCACTATTTAGACATTTGTACAATCTTGGATTTGGCACATGTTGCACTGTGCGACCTAATAACTGGGCTTCCCTCAACGGCTTGTAAATACCCGTCTTAGGGGGAAAAAGCCTGCTTGAGAGATGAGGAATTGAAGGACAAACGGGATGTTTTCGTCCTGTCTTCCATTCATGCAGACACCACCATCCAAATTGCCACGGCAGCTGGTGTTGTTGAGAAGCCCCTCTGTTTCCACACCTATAACCTTCACATGGGAGGGATGGACTTCAACGACCAGATGATGAAGCTGAACTTAGTTTCCTGAAAAACCAGACGCTGATACAAAAAAAGTGTCTGTTTATTTCAATTGGCTCTATATAATGCTTTTGTGCTTTACAAAGCCACTGGGTGATTTGGATTCTTCCTAAAATTCCAGGAAGAGATCGTCACAGCCCTTTTTTTTTTTTTTTTTTTTTTTTTTATCTAGAAGGTGCTATGGCCCAAACCCCCAAGCCTGATGCAGTTAGCCAGCTGTATGAGAGGCATTTTCCCGATTGCCATTCCTGGTACCCCAACCCAAAGAACACCCCAAAAAAAGATGTATCTGTTGCAGACATGGAATTAGGCATGACACCCGCTTTTTTTGTCCCTCCTGTTCTGGCCAACCTGGTCTCTGCCTCAAGGACTGCTTCCGTCACTACCACACACTAGTGGAGTATTAGTATAGGGTACAGCACGGCACAGTTCAGGGCACAATTTGCACAGGGTCTCAAAAGATGTTAGGTAGTCAGGAAACTGGCTATTGCATTTTGAGAGACCCTACAATTTAAATTCAAGTTAAAAAAAATGTAGAAAAAATAAAAAGTAAAAGTACAAATGTTTTAAAATTTTAACTACTTGCCTACAGGGCACTTTCACCCCCTTCCTGCCCAGGCCAATTTTCAGCTTTCAGCACTGTCACACTTTGAATGACAATTGCACAGTCATGCAACACTGTGCCCATATAAAATTTTTATCATTTTTTTTTTTTGAGACTGCTTTCTTTTGGTGGTATTTAATCACCTCTGGGTTTTTTATTTTTTGCTAACCAAACCAAAAACTAAAAATTTTGAAAAAAAACAACTTTTTTTTTTTCTTTTTGTTATAAAATTTTGTAAATAAATGATTTTTCTCCTTCACTGATGTGCGCTAATGAGGCTGCAGTGATGGGCACTGATAGGCTGAACTGGTAGGTGGCACTGATGGGCATTGACAGGCATCACTGGACACTGAAAGGCAGCGCTCATATATGGCACTGAAAGGTGGCACTGTTAGGCAGCACTGATAGGTGACACTGAAAGGCAGCTCAGATGGGCACTGATATGTGGTATTGATGTGCACTGACAAGTGATATTGATGTGGCACTGATGGGCACTGGCAGGCGGCATTGATGAGCACTGACAACTGGCATTAATGGACACTGACAGGTGGCACTGCTGGGGCTACACTGATCATCAAGGAACACTGATCATCAGTGCCCTGATGATCAGTGTACATATCCTCTCTGAGGGATGCCGATTACCAGTTCTCCACTCCTCACAAGCTGTCAGCATGACAGCTTGTGAGGAGAGAAATGCCGATAATCGACATTTCCCGATTTACATGCTGGGATTGGACACAGCTGATCACATGACCAAGCCGACATCTTTGGCTCTTTCCATTGATCAGTGATCCACTGTTTCCAAGGCACACAGCGCACCACCGATTGCAGCGCACATCATATGACATCCTCCCAGAACCAGAGGAACCGCCTTGCACCCGTCATTACCTGTTTATTCTGACATTCTGACCAACCTGTTTATTCTGACAGCAACAGGAACTTTCTCTCAGAAAATACATAAGTAGGTGTTTGCAGCGCTGTTGGATGAGATTTTTCATCCGCAGTTAAAAAAGAGCATATATGCCAAAGCATGGGGGCCTGGGGTAGCCAGTGGGTGGATGGCACCTATCCTTCTGTATATATTAAAAAAAAAAAAAATTTGGCAGAGATTTCTGCATCCACATTGACCGATGTGACAAGAGGAATCTGTTAGGTTCTTTTTTTTCTTTTTTTTTTCTTTCAGTCCACGGGCTGCACGACAAAACATTTCATGTGTGCCCACCATCAGAAGTGGGTGGATGCAGGGCGGTATAGTCTAATGGTGGGCATACCACACACTTTTTCTGGCAGAAATTTCTTCTCTTTTTTAAAAAAAAAAAAAAAAGAACATGGAATATATACCCAACAAGGACCAGCGACATACATACCAGTGGTTATACCAGGATGATAGCTGCAGCCTGGTATAGTTTATTTTTTCAGTCGGCAATCGGCTTTCATGTACAAGCAATCCTAGTGGCTAATTAGCTGCAGGATTGCTTTTACAAGTAGTGGGAGAAGATGGGCCCCCTCCCCCGCTGCCTTCCACATCCTTCTCAGGCAGTCCCGTGCCATCGGGGGAACCTGAGAATGCAGCCGGTGTTTCTACCAGCTGGCCATAGAGCTGATTGGAGACCGGAATGGCGCTAATTATCTCTATAGTCTAAAAAATCGGAAGCTACGAGCATTTCATCACTTCAGTTTCGCAGGATGTAAATTGCGCCATTTGTAAATTGGGAAAGCATCTGATCACACCGATCTTGATGAGATTAGATGATGTAAGGACAGAGGAGATATCTAGAGTCTAATAGACCCCAGATTTCTCAAAAAAGAATACTTGTCAATGCCCATTGCTGTCACAGGGGATATTTACATTCCCTGTGATGGCATTAAAAGTGTTTAAAAAAAAAAAAGGGACAGTGTAAAAATAATTTAAAAAATCAAAATAACTAAAAAAACAAAAACACCCTTGCCCCCCTGCACCTGCATGTGCATGTAAACATTGGTTGCACCATGCATATGAGGTATCATCGCGAACGTCAGATCAAGGGTAGTAATTCTAGCACTAGACCTCTGTAAATTTAAAATGGTAGCTTGTAAAGGCTTTTAAAGCGTCGCCTATGGATATTAAAAATGTATGCAGTTTGTCGCCATTGCACAGGGTGCGCAGTTTTAAAGCATGTCATGTTTGGTATCTATTATCTAAAGAGTCAGAAAAGGCTTGGTCTTCAGGTGGTTAGAAGATTGAGAGATGTGTGGCATAAACTTCTAATGCTGGGCATAAAATGCCCCCCCCCCCCCAAATGACTCCTTTTTGGAAAGTAGACACCCCAAACTATTTGCTGAGAGGCATGTTGAGTCAATGGAAGAATATATTTTTTTACCACAAGTTTTTGAAAAATGCCAAAAAAATAAATTTTTTTACACAAAATTGGCACTTAAATGATTTATTTCTCACACTTGCCATGGGTATATGTGGAATTACTCCCCAAAATACAATCTGCTACTTCTTCCGAGTATGGGGATACCACATATGAGAGACCTTTTGGCAGTCTAGCCAGGTACAGAACCCCAAAATCCAATAAGCACCTTCAGGATTTATTTCCTTATTACACTTCCTGACTACCTATCACAGTTTCGGTGGCCCTGAAATGCCAGGATAGTACAACCCCCCCCCCATGACCCCTTTTTGGAAAATACACATTCCAGGAATGTGATAAGTATGGTGAGTATTTTGCAAATCTCGTTTGTTGCCACAAGTTTTTGGAGAAAGAAAACAAAAACATTTTTTTTTCTTTTTTCTGTTTTTTTTATATTTCAAGACCAGAGAGAATGAGGGAAAAATGAGATCTGCAAAAAACTGACCATGCCTCTTTTTAAATTCCTTGAGGCATAATTCCTCTGACATCAACGGTGCGGCCATATTCCTTCCACTGGCACCAGTGAAGGGCCATACATCCTTCCTCGTCTGAACATTATTCCTCCCACTGACATCAAAGATGGAGCATTATTACACCCACTAATACCAATAATGGGGCACTATTCTTCCCACTGATACCAACAGTGTTGCATTACTCCTGCCACTGACCCAAATGATGGGGCACTATTCCTGCCACTGACAAATGATGGGGTTCTATTCTTTCCACTGATACCAATGATGGGGCACTAATCCTCCTCCTTCTGACCAAAGGCGCTGTGTAACTTTTTTGCTCCCACTGACCAACAAGCCGGAGGCATTTTCTGCACTCACTGGCCATATTGGGCCACTGGCCCTCCTAAAGTCTGATGGACAGTACATTGGCCCTTTTGTTTAACCTCTCTAGCGGTCTGATTATGTCAGTATTTCTGTGTGCTCAAAGCGGTACTGAAATCTGTTTTTTTGCATGGAATAATATGTATTTTTTTTTTTATTGTAGGCCTGTGAGCAAAGTTTTTAGTCTGAAATCCCACGAAATCACTCACTGTTCTAAAATCTGCTGGTCAGAACAAAAGTCTAGGAAACATGCAGGCCCGGGTAGGGACAAAATGTATTAAAATTTGAAACACGCAATATTTATAAATTATAATTTAATAAATCTTCAAAAAAATAATATAATAATAATAATTGCTCGGGGTTACCGCTTGTGGTGCTGAAACTTTACCCCGAGCAACACTCGGAAATACCGCCAGGGAGGTTAAAAAGTTTGGACACCCCTGATCTATACCATAGTTTGTAGATGCTATAACTTTCACACATCCAATTAATATGCAGTTATTGGGATTTTGTTTTTTTACCAAAGACTTGTAGCAAAATACATTTTGGCCTAAATTTATGATGAAATTTGTGTTTTTTGGATATTTTTTATGACAGAAATAAGAAAATATCGGGTTTTCCCCAAAATTTTCAGGTTTTTTTTTTTGTTTATAGTGTACAAAATTAAGTGCACAGGTGGTCAAATACCACCAAAAGAAAGCTCTATTTGTGTGAAAGACAGGACATAAATTTAGTTTGGGTACAGCATTGCATGACAGCACATTTGTCAGTGAAATTAGCACTGCGCTGTATAGCAAAAAAAGGCGTAAATTGCAGTATCTATACCATAGTTTGTAGATGCTTAACTTTCACACAAAGCAATCAATATACACTTACTGGTGGTTTTTTTTTTTTTTTTACCAAAGACATGTAGCAGAATACATTTTGTCTTAAATTTATGACTAACTAGTCTATTTTTTGTTTATAGCGCAAAAAATAAAAAGCACAAAGGAGATCAAATACCACCAAAAGAAAGCTCTATATGTGTGAAAAAAAGGAAATAAATTTTGTTTGGGAGCAAAATTGCATGACTATGCAATTGTCAGTTGAAATAGTGCAGTGCCGAATAGCAAAAAAAGGCCTGGTCAGGAAGGGGGGTAAATCCTCTGGAGGGCAAGTGGTTAAGCTCCAAAATCACTCCATACGACATGCAGACATGGGTCACCTATCAGAACCCCAAAAAAAAAAAGGGTCCAAAAATAAAAAATCCCAACTTTCTCCAACTCTTATCAAACAGATCAAATTAAAACATACATACACTACACAGGATAAATTGTACACCGTATTATATCGACATCAAAAATATATCCTGTACCAATTTTTCCAAGATGCTGCTGAACCGCCCTTGGCATTTATTGAAAGGGGGCATTAATAAACTTCTCATAGGCCTTATTTACAGGCATGAAAATCCATCTACAGTCTATTTGCAGAATAGTGTTATCAAAATCGCCCCTCTTGGGTGGGGGTGGACTCTCTCAATAGCCAAAAAGTGTATACCGTTGGAGTCATAATTGTGTTCACTTGCAAAATGTCTCGCTACTGGGCTGACAAAATCACTCCCTTGTATATTATTGATATGGTCATGGATCCGTTCCCAAAATTTCCTCTGTTTTCCCAATAAAATACATTACATGGGCACCTGAACAAGTATACAATTCCAAATGTCTGACATATCACAAAGTGTCTCCCTTTCCATTCGGTAAGATGGTCTCTGAGCTTTTCTCCACATATCTGCAAAAACCACAATAAATTTTTTTTTATCCTGGTGCAAGGGTATGCACCTAACAATGTGAGTGGGCATTGTGGAAATGCTTTTTAATAAATAAAAGGTTTTAAAGATTTCCCACTATGGTCGTCTCCCTCCATCTTTCCCTACATGTTGTGTGAGACATATAAAAGGAGAATGCAGCTGGCCCAAGAAGAAGGTTGATGGTGGCTATCCATGATACTAAGAGTTGTATGACTCACCTGTGATATGTAGTCATATAAATCTGTTGTTCTGTGTTTTATGGTGGAGGATTTCGGGAACAATTTGGCACTGATTGTTGCAAATGGAGCACTTTTTTGAGCACAGACAGTTTAATAAGTTTGAAGGCATTGTGCATTACTACTGTGAATAACTAAAAACACTTGCACAGGGAGACTTTATTGAATCATGTTTAATTTTTGAGGATAGGAGCAATGTAGAGAATATGCTTGTTTATTGCACATGTTTAAACAAAAAAACAATAGTGC